CTGTTTGAGTCGCATATCCTGTGAACCTGTGATATCCAGTGTTGTCAACTTGACGGGTTTCCCGTTAGATTTGACGGGACAGTGAGGTTGGCAACGGGAATAAATTGTGTTTAATGGCTAACGGATTTTTTAACGGAACAACAAAAATTTATGTTTTTTGGATTTGTTTTCGAAATAAAAATAATTTGGAAATGGCAAAAATTAAATTATAATTTTATTCATTTTTTTGTGTAAAAATACGAAAAAATGCGCAATACATTCTTATCTTTAAAAAGTTGAGAGAGTAAATTTTCATTTGACCTAATTCTTTTAAATACAGCTCCGAAACTGTTTTGTTGTTGGTCGGCCAAAATGATCCGCTACTGTTGAATATATAGAAAACTATCAACTACTCTATTTATTTCATTCTCACTCTTTACTCTTTGAGTCTCATATCCTGCGAACCTGTGATTCCTCGAAAGTCAATAAGTTTTAGTTCGATAAAATGAATTTAAAACCTAGAGCATGTAGTAGATGGCGCTATTACAAATCTCAAATAGAAAATGTTCAGTTCCCAATGGATCTCACAGACTTAACAGAGTACTGGAGCCTGAAGTGATCCATTTGAATGATCGATCCGAATGTACTGTACTCGTGACAAAATGTACTAGAATGATTCGGCCACTAGAAATGAATGATTGATACTTGTCTACCGTACTTGACGGGATTTGACGGGATTATAGTGGTCTATACAACGGGAGTTAGATTTTAATGTCGGCAACACTGTTTGCAAGTACGTCCACCTTCAAATACCAGGGCCAAAAACCAGGGCTTGAGATACTTTCAAGTATTTTATTTCTGCATCGAAAATTGATCCGTAAGAATATATAAATAAAAAGTGCAATCGCATAAATATGCTAAAATAGTAAACTTTCAAGCCTTGATGGAACAAAAATACTTGCATAGAATATTGATCTGTAACCAATAACCATATAGGTACAAATAAAGAGCACAACCGCGTTTACAAAAAAAAAAATACTTCCAAAGCTTTAAAAGTTCCAACTTTCAAGACTTGTTATAAGAAAAATACTTGCATAGAATATCGAACTGTAACTATATACAAAAAAAGAGCACAATCGCGTTTACAAAAAAATTCTTCCAATCCTTTAAAGTAAATATACCTTCATAGAACATTGATCCTTAACAAAATATAAATAAGGAGCAGAATCGCGTAGAGTGTCGACAGAGCGAGAATATTCGAATACTTTGAGGTCTTGCAAGTATTTTGGGTCGGCACTTGGTCGGTGTACTTGCAAGTAAATACCTGGTGTAAATACCTGGTATAAAAACCTGGTCGCGTAAATACGCACCTTCCCTACTGTGTTGGTTGATGTGTTTAATTTTCCTGCGAATAATTATTATTTTTCTACTTACTAGCAATTCTTACGTACTTATTCGATTACTTTTCATTGTTTTGAATATCGTTAGTATCGGATTAAGAAGGAATTTTAGTTATGCCTTTTAGAAAAAGATCAAATCTGTCACGAAACTCAAGGGTTTATAAGATGCGCAGGTTAGTTCGATCTCTCGAACCCACGCAGAGCGTGAACAACGGCTAGGCCTAGGTGTTAACCGTGAGCGTAATGCACTAAGTTTGTCCGCAGAAACTAGCACGCAGCGCCAATTACGACTAGAATTTAAACGAGTCCGCACTACTGCTTCTCGATCTCAGGAAAGTGTGGAACAACGAGAAATGCGTTTAGCTATCGACCGGGATCGTCATTCTTTGTCTTGCGCATCCGAAACGGTTACACAGAGGGATCAGAGGTTGAGTCTTCAGAATATCCGCTCTGAGACTGCTCGATCACTTGAGAGCAGTCAGGAGCGTGAGATACGACTTGCGCGTGACCGAGAACGTGGACAAAGCCAAGGGTACAGCTATAGTTTATAAAGAATTTTTTTAAAAGTGATTTGCAATATTATTGTTAATTCAGTGTACCCTTGGGATCCGGTGCATTCCGCACCGGATCGGTGAAATATACGGGATGAAAAGTTTTTTGTTGTATAGGTGTTAAGTCTAGGTAACATATAGGCTATAATTTATTTTGGAAAATGGAACACCTGATGCAGAACTGCAACAGACCAGCTAAAGTATAAGAGATATAAAAATGGTGCCATAGCAAAAAATATTCCACGTGAAGAGTTTTTTCTGCTGTGAGAATAAATTTGAAGATCTGGAACACCTGTTGTGGAACTCCAAAGCCCAGCGACATTATAACATATATAGGAATGACGTCTTAGCAAAAGTTGTTTAGTCTGATGGGCGTTTCGTGTTGACTTACAAAAATGAAAGATCTGGAACGTCTCGAATCGTCTCGCGCATCACGTTGTTTTCCCGTCCCCGGGCTCTTAGAATTCGACATCAGACGTTTCAGATCTTCGATTTTGACGACGCCGTTGTCGCTGGCATAAGCAACATCATCCGCGTACGAAGTCGCGGGCAGCAGCTAGTTAATGAAATAAAATGTTAATATTTTGTTGAGTCACATTTAGCCGCTGAGAGCTTCAATTCGACGCGGCATGTTATCAATGCGAGACTGCGCAGTCTCCTGCATTTGAGGATCACGATTCCACACATGAATGATCTCTTCGAGTTGAATTTTGTTTGTGATCACATCTTTAACCACTTGTCTCTTCATCAGCCCACACACGTTTTCAATAGGATTCATATCGGGGCTATTACTCGGCCAATACAACAGAGGGATATTTTTCTCTTCCAAAAAACTTTAACAGACCGTGCTGTGTGACAGGGAGCTCCATATTGCATAAAACTGAATGGTTCCCATTCGAAAACCATTCTATGAGCTGCGGAATCAACCGACTTTGTAAGACTTCTTTGTACTGATCTTGCCTCATTATACCTTTTACCACGTATAGACGTCCAGAGCCCTTGCCGCTGATAACTGACTAGATCATCAATTTTATAGGGTGCTTGACAGTCTGAACGACACAGTCAATATGAAACTTTTCTCCATGACGACGACGCAAAAACAGAGCTTTATTCTGCAAAATGTCAAATGTTCTTTCATTTACTATTCTTGACAGGTTCGCTGAAGCAGACCTGTCAAGAATAGTAAATAAACATGCTAAACATCTGTGCTGGTCTTTCTTTATTTTATTTATAGAAAATGATATTAAATGTTATAGATAATGATACTATACCAACTTACCGATCTCCAGATGTCCTCATCTTTATCACGCCACTGGTTTGCTCTGCTTCGCTTTGCGTTCTTTGCAGCTTTTATCTTGGGCTTCCTGACGGGGCGGCAGGTTCTAAAATCTAAATCTTTTAATTTTTTTCGAATAGTCCGTTTAGGAACATTCACATTAGCATCTTGGAATTGTGATTTAATCAGTTTTGTGCTTGTATATCTGTTTTCCAGGCAAATTTTCTTTAAACATCTTTCTCCCCCGGGAGTAAAAATAAGCTTTCTACCACAAATATTCTTTTGTTTCGGGCCCAATTCCTCCCCAGACTTAATATTCTTCTTTATGCGACGTACGCTAACTCTAGAAACCTTCAATCTTCGTGATATTTCGCGGTTAGAAAATATTTTAGCATATACGAGGGCCTTTACTTAAGCTTTTATACGTCGTGAAAGATCGCCTTTTTTACCCATGATAAAAATGTTCCAATTGATTATTTAAACACTGTACACAAAATAAACATATAACTGCGAAGTAGAAAACTGCAAACAAAGAAACACAGCGCATAAAACCAACAGAAACTCTTCCACAACTGAAATACGCGAGAATGCGACTGTAACGGTTTTGTACAAGTTTACGTTCGTGTGTCAATTAGTTAACATTGTAATGCAATACATTAAAAATAAATACAAATAGGATATAAGTATATAAAATATCCTGAATAAAGACCCATTACATAGATGTAGCCAACCTTGTCTGTGACTCCTCTGACATATTATGGTAGTACAGCAGGCACACGCTCGACTGTGTCCGGCTTCACTCGGTCACTGACGTAAGCGCGGAACCCGAAGCTTGTTGTCTTGCAACACTTGCTTGACGTGCTGAAGCTCGGTGGCCAGATGTTTTCTGTCACAGATCCCTCGTGCTCTCTGAAGCAAAGATTTACCAACGGTAGCTAACTGTGAATATATTTAAATATAAAAGTATTGCATATAAAATACTCAAGTGCGTCTAATAATTTGGCCAGGGACTGCAGATAGGTAAGCGACTGTAAACTAATGGTGGAAGCGGACCGGGGACTCAAAGTTTGAATCCGCCACTCAACTATTGTCATGAACCAATCCTTTCCGCGCTTTCCGGGGTAGTTTTAAGTTTACGGAAGCTAAGTGTTGGAATGATCTCCCACCACTACTACGCACTATGACAAGTAAAACCAGTTTAAAAAAATTATAGACGTCACTTACTAAGAGAACAAATACTGTCATAATCGGATTATTTTTACTAAATTGCAAAGCCGTTCTGTAAATAAAATAAAAAAAAAACATTGCCGGTAGGTGGGGAACTTATAAGCTCAAATAAGTAGGGTCATAGTTATACCGTTGCAATTATCATTAAAAATATAAATTAAAAAAAAATAACGATAATTTAAAATAATTATTTAATTACTAATTTGAACTGGCTAATACTCGCGAATCCTAACACAACCATTTTAAGTTTATCTGGAGTGGTTTACTTCTGCGGATAAAGCAGTGCTTGCACTTCTGTATTCCGGTCTGTCAGTGTGTGACGGCCTTTTAAAATAATTATAGGCTCTTTTTTGAAGCGTAAATCGCACTGTAGTAGACCACCAACCATCGAAATTATGAGGATGGAATTTCTAATAATTTTCTCTCGGCCGATACTCACTAAATAGACGGGGCAAATTGGATAAAACTTAATGGGATGTCTAATTTCATCTTACAGCGTCTTATCTACATACTTTCCGACTTTAAGCTCTGGATAATTTGCTAATATTATAATAAACATAAAACAAATTAAAACAATGTTTTTTGAAGCGCCGATGAGGAAGAAAGGAAACGCAAGGCGATGCTACACGAAGCTAATGAATCCCAACACTCCGAGTCAGATGTGAGAGACGTCACAGCATCACGTGAGCTTGCCACAGCATCACGGGAGCGCATCACAGCACCACGTGAGCGCGCCTCAGCATCAAATGAGCGCACCACGGCATCACGTGAGCGCACGCCAGCATCACGTGAGCGCACGCCAGCATCACGTGAGCGCACGCCAGCATCACGTGAGCGCACGCCAGCATCACGTGAGCGCACGCCAGCATCACGTGAGCGCACGCCAGCATCACGTGAGCGCACGCCAGCATCACGTGAGCGCACCACAGCATCGCGTGAGAGCGTCACATTTTCACCAGCGGACACGCCCTGCGGCTTTTTCACATGTGGGCTTGGAAGCCTCATTTCCGGTAGCTCTGGAGCTAGCGGATGGCTTCCGATTGCGAGTTCAGCGTTCTTGCTAGCTATGTTGACATTTTTGTACAAGCGTATTGACAAAATTCGCAGCTTACTTGGCATACAACAAGACATAGATGCATCATCAATCGACAAAGAAGATTGCTCCCGTGACTACTACGCTTCAATCACTAAGGGGGAAAGAAATTTTTGAGTAAAAATACAAATCAAAATAACTATGTTTTATTTTTATTTAATAAAATAAAATCAATAAATTCGATCGCTTTCGATTCGATTTGTATTGTATGGAAAAATTAAGCAAAGGTTATGTTTTGAAAATTGCTCTATTTAGCGGTTTTTTGAAGTTAGAAAATAGTATACCTACATATCTTCAGATACTTTTAAAAATCATTTAAAATATATAAATCACTTTAAATATATATACGCAGGCTTAGAATGTAATTTTTATATTGTGGGGGTGAAGTTATTAAAATTCGTGGTTGCACAGGAATTTTTCGTAATAATCCCACGACGGTCAGCAACCACGTGGGATCAGTGTAGAAAGGCCGCGAGGCATTTCCATCTCAGGGCTGCTCTACCGGGGAAACACCACGCCCACCTAGAATACTAGCGTAGCGTTATATATGAGCGTAATTTTTATATAGGCATTCCATATTCTCAGGGGTGATAACGTATCTGTATTTTAATGGAAGGATAGATGACTATCTGAGATGAGGGTCTATAGGCCATATTATACATTTACCATCACTATGTGACTGTTGGATGTGGATTATGTGCTCGTTTGTTACCCTATTTAGGATCAAATAATTGAAAAAAATATTACGTGATATTTGCCGAGAGATATTTGCTTAACCCTTCACGTAATTAATGGACGCTCCCTAATAGTCATACTAGATTTTATATAACTCGAAGAACCGGCAACCGATGGGGGAAAAAGGTTCTCGAGTAACAGCCTCGTACCGGCAGGCGTAGTGTAGATCCCCCACTAGATGAAGTGACGACCTGGTAAGTAAGACATGCAGGAAGTCGATGGATGCAGGTGGCTCAGGACCGTGCTTTGTGGCATTACTTGGGGGAGGCCAATGTTCAGCAGTGGCTGTAATGATGATGATGACAACAAATAAAATATATTAAATACAAAAGAACCAAGAAAGAAAAACTTTAATCGGAATCAAGCACTTCAGTAATTAATTAAATTATTTTATTTCCTTTTTAACGAAATGAAATGCCATGCCAACAATGGAAATAGTAAAAATCCAGTTTTAAATTATTTTTAAAACTAATCATAACTAAGATTTGATAATACTCAGGGAAATAAATATTGGAAAATCAATTTTCTTTCCAAGCCGTAGTTTTGAAGTGACTGTTGGTAGAACAACGCCATTCAATGTCATTGACGTTCCTATTCTTACTTGAATCGCTTTGTACAGCGTATATTATATAAAGAGTATTTATTATTATGTCTTGAGGAAATTTGTCTAGTCCCCAGCAGATACAACATTAATAAAGTTGTTTCTAGGTGTCTTTGGACAATATTATTAGCTATTACCCTTTACTATTGTTACTACCCATCAGGTGTGCATTACTAGTTCGATTGTCACACTTATACTTAAAATATAGCAGGTATTTAAATAGTAAAAAAACACAACATATTGAAACAAAATATATTTAATACCACCTTTCATCTTACAAATTGTAATTCAAATGCCTCAGTCGGCTCAACTATGTATAACTATTGCAAGTCCGGGTATGTAAAAGACACAACCGTGATAACAAAACGTTCTAAGTAAACGTTAGTGCCTTAAAAACAAGGAACGTTAGGATCTATACCGTAAGATAACTTATCGTCAATACAATGTCGATGCTGGTGATTAATGACTCTTTCAGACAATTGTATAATATACGAGTCAGACTTAAATATCCCTAAAATAAAGAAAAGTATAGGCAGGGATGCGTTCATTTCGAGTGTAGAAAACATGCTCAACTATTTGACGCAAACCGTTGCAAATTATTTTAGATGTATATATCTGTGCGTGACAATGTGTTCAGCGTGGATTTGGCTTGATTACGGTGTCCCTTGAAATGTGCGCATCGCTCCTGTATTTCTTTGTTAGTCTATGCTGAACATTTTAACTTTGAAATAATGCCAAACAGATTCCAGCAGTATAGATTAAGTGTTCATACGCATTGTGCGGCGAAACGCTGTACGTTGGGATGTCAAATGGTAAGTATTTCTTATAACAATAATAACTGTTCTAATTAACTAAAGTTGTATAAGTCTGCGATATCAAACGCACAGTGCGTATAACAGCCTAATACAAAGCAGTAATGCATTCTTTGTAAAAACGTTGACAGTTATGTGAATAGAGTCTATTTAATAACAGCATCGAGAAGTTTCTCGCACACGAGGGATTTGATATAACATCAATTTTATTTGTACGTGTTATGCGAGATAGCCTCGAAACGAAACAAACATTTCCGCTTCAATAATAATCGATTAAATGAATGAAATCCGTCGCGCACGAGATGATTTAATCTAAATTCATTATCAAAATGTACTATAGCTAAATGTTCTGAAACTGATATGCCTTCTGCGGTGTAACTTTTTTCTTATCAACTAAAAAGTCCGCGTGGCAAGTCAGTGTTGAAACATTCACCGATTGGCACGACTAAAGTTACACCATCTGTATTGAACAGAAAAACTTCCGTGTTGTATGATTAATACCATGATGGAAAAAATAGATTACAACATCTAGTTTATTTATAGAAAAAAATGTCTTCTAAGGGTGTATTCACACTGAGCGCTTTGATCACGCTGTCACTTTGACAGGTGTCAGTCGTCTGACAATGCCAGTGACACAGTTATTGTCGGGCAACTGACATATTGATAACATTGACATAAATCGATAGTAAAATAAACTATGAAGTTGTTTATGCAGTGATTATAGCGCTCAACATCAACTATCCCTTTTATTAGTAAAATACAAAGCACAGACTTTATACAACAGGGACCTAACCTATCCAGTTGTAGTGAGGACACGGCGTCCGTCTATTGCACAATATTTACACAAACTTAATGGTGTGTCGTTGAACAGGTACATTTGACAAATATATTAGTTCTACAATATAACGTTATCAGTAACTTAAGCGGGCGGCGCCTGTAGCGCCGCGCCGTTGTATCAGTGCTTATCGGCTAAAGCGGGACATCGGGCGAAATTGATTTCAATATGGTATAAGTTAAGAGTTATATTCCATTGAAATACGTTAAGAATAAATATATTTTCGCGGTTCGGGCGGTTTCGCATTGGCTATCTACTCAGCTGCGTTAGTTTACTGTACCTACTCATTCTAAGGAAATAATATGATTTTCATGTCCCTGCGAATGGAGACGTACGAAATTATTGTAGTTTATAAACAATATATTTGTAGCCTCAGCGGCGAAAATAAATGCAAGTGTAATGCTGAATGCGTTTTCTAATTGCTTCATGTTTTTACTACTTCAGAAAATGTAGATGTAATGAAGAAGGTCTAACATGAATTAATGACTGGCATGTAGAAATATGTAGTGAGATACCAAAGTAATTGACTTCGAATAATATTAACATTAATATTACACTTCCAATTAATAAAATAAAACTAAAATGTAAAAGTGGTCAACTCTATTTGACTATTATAAAGAAACAATTTTTGAAAATTAAACGTAAGCACATAACTTTGGAAGATCGTAATTCAAATTATTTTGAAAAAATAAAACGTCATTACCATCATTTCACAAAAGTTTGTACTTAATAATCTGTTCACCTGTGGTTCGACAAATCTTTAATAAAAATACTTTAAATTAAACTGTGATACTAAAAATAAACTCAAAATAAATTTATTACACAAATATATAAAAGGTAATATTCCTTTCAAGTTAATAGACTGTCCAGTAAAAGTATGCTTGCAAGTTCCATATATTCCATTATAGGGCAAGAAATGATTTCTTTGCAAGATTCTGAATATTGTACAAAACTACTACAGAAACACGAAGAATGTACTCCAAAAGGCTACCAAGAAATGATATCATGTGTTACTAGGATCCATTATTTCATCGACTACATTGGACGGATACATAATTGCTCTTCCAAGACCTGAGACACTCACGAAACCTAATAAAGAGGACAATGTTTCAACACCAATTGTTCGGAAGAATAAATATAGGAATAAATATTTATTTACCACATTTTGAACTATTCATATGTTTTTGGCACTGAATGAATGATTGTGTTACTATGTCCTACGCTAATAGAGGCAAACCTTGTGAGGAATGCATGTTTGTCGAAGTAGATTTTGAATGAAGTATATCGATAAACAACTTGCAAAGCGCAGTCTTGTCAATGATATATTTTGATTATCAATTAAGCCACATCCACCATCCATCAACTAAGTCATCAAAAATTAGTTAAACGTTAAAAAAGATAGGATTAGCTGCAGTCTTTTAACACTTTTATTTGCAAATTATTTTTATTTTTAAAGTATGCCTCTATTAGTATATCCATGGTTTTATTAGATTTGATCATTTGTTACTGTAATTAGAATTGATTAATGTAGATTTAATTATTCACACATTACTTTAAAGAATGATTGATATTTTTATATTTCCACTAAATAATTTTGATTACACTATGTACAACACCGTGACGAATACCCTGACGATAATTATAACTGTGTTTTTATGACAACGTAATCACTATAATATGAATAATGTCAAGTGTTTATTTACAAAAATATATTTTCAAATAATTTCTTAATCGTAAATTTTATGATGTTAGTGAGACACTTAAACATTTATCTTTATGTGGTTAAGTTTCATAAAGAACCTTAGATGTTCAGATTTGACTAAAAAATTTAATATGTATTATTCTTATATCGCCAATATTTTGGTATAATCTGTGTATAGAAAGTGATCATGTGTGTAATACGGTCACGATTTAATCGTATAAAAACGTCACTAGTGAATAATATCAATTAATTTGATCAGTTTATTTCACAACTTTTTAGTCGCTTTGCATATACATATATTTGTACATAATGGTGATTTCAAAAAAATATTTGTGTTCTGACCAAAATCAGAAGAAAACAAGTGGTTTTTCGATCAATGCGTACATATTTCAGTTTTTAAAACCTTATTTTTTCGATACGGCAACACTTAATAGACGACGGATTTTAAAGTGGCACGCTTAAAAGACTAGACACGTGACACTGAATAGAAATATTTTCTTATACCAATTTTATAGTAGGACGAATTCGACCCTTTCTAGTATACGTCCGAATTTAAGTAAAATTAATAATAAAGAAATGTACATGACGAGCTTATATGTAACGCCCAAAAAATAAGATTCAAAAATAACTTCTAAATATTCGTAAATAGTATTTTAAGTAATTAACCTATTTATCAGTACTTGAATAAGAATTTGTTGCTATAACCAACGTTGATTTATTATTTATGATTCATGACGTTAACAAAACTTCGTAGATATTGCAAAGTATGTATATTTTAACTGGCAAGTTTTAATTTAATACTGTATAAATTATAAATATTAAAGAAACAAATAAGTAATATATACACGTAAATACCTTTGTTCTGCTGATAAAATGAATTAATGTTAAACCATCAGAATCACTCCATAGATATATTTCGTCTACAAAGGCCTTTATAACGACGGATAGGCCACAAATTATTCAACAAGGTCTTACGTAATTTAAAATACTTTACACACGTATATTAAATTATATTCAAGATTTCAACTAACCTATATTATAAGTTTACCTACAACCATTTAATATAATCTCACCTTTTATTCAATGAAATGCTTATAGTTTACTCAGTCAAACTCAAAAACTAGACGAGTTTCCTCGACAAAGTAACAACTTGCTCGCAACAGCGTAACTATGTCCGAGAAACTTTATTAAAAAAATATTGTCACATTTTCGTTATTCGACGGGATACAAATTGGCACTAGCCTCGAAAACGATACATAATATGACAAGCAGTGAGAACTTTCGTCTCGCTCTGGATCCGTACACTATTAAGGAATCAGGTACGTGACGGTAATATGGTCATTTTAATGTTTGTATTTCTATAAAACCAAAAATGAGGAGGATTACAGAGACATAAACATAAATTCTTATAGTTAAAATGTTAAAGTTATAGCCTATACACGTCCCATTGCTGGGCAAAGGCCTCCCCTTAGCATTCAGCACAATTTCTGAGAGGGTTTGGGAGCAAATTCGTATACTGTAACTAAGATATTAAGAAAAAAATAACAAATAAGCTTTTGCAATAAATGGGAACGCTTCAAATATCAACTTTAAAAAAATGAAGTGAAACTACTTTATTCTATGTTATTCTCTCGGAAGTGAAATTCTATGGATGTATATGATTGTCTCTTTTAGGTGTTGCTTTTCCGTTTTATTGAATTTCAAATTACAACAATTTTAAAGAAGACATTCTCAGTTCAAAAACAGATAATGACCATATTTACTATATTGTCAACTATGGAGTGTAGAGGTATTGTCAACTTTCAACATGTGGTCGATAAAGTAGCACCCAAAAGGGTGCTACTTTATCGATTTATACTTTTTATTATACTTTTTATATTTATACTTTTTATTATTTGACTGACTGACTGACGAAGAGATATTGCTACGTAACCAAGGGTTTCATTTTTGACTTAAGCTAGCAGTACACGTTGGCCGAACGCGTTCGCCGAGGGCATTCGGCCAACGTTTACTGGGCCGTTTTGTGTGCATTTATCGTCTGCGGCCAACATTCGCCGAGCGCGCTCGGCCAACGTGTACTGGAGCCTTTATAAGCAAGTGACCATATTGCTTTCACGTACGCAAAATTTGTAACCCTACGAATGGAAGTCACAGTTTAAATTTGACACAAAACGCGACGCAGGTCCTCGCTGTCGCGCAACGATCACAGACAAATGGCCAAATATTCAAATGTTACTCAATTGTAAGATGTTAAGTCTCGTGGTGTCACAGTCACTTTGACCTAAAGTGATAGAGATAGAATGAGGCTTATCGGTGTTCAAGGAATGAATAACGTTTGAGGATTTGGGCAAAAGTATTGTTCCGGACGAACACGCGTCACGTTATGACCTGTCGAAGAGCGGCATCTTCGATCTAATATGACAATCCGTGAGAATTTTCATATTGCTCTGTATCCGTACACTATGATATATGAAAATATTTGTTTCCGTAACCCCTACCAATGGAAGTCTCAGTTTAAATTTGACACAAGGTTCGACGTACACCGCGGCGTCGCACAACGATCACAGACAAAGTATCGTCCAGGACGGGCACGCGGCGCGCTATTTCTTATCGAAGAGCGGCAGCTTGGACTTGACGGCGCCCTCGCAGACCGTGAGGCGCTGCTGCACGCACTTGCCCTGGTGCTTGACGTCGACGAGGCAGCCGAGCTGCGGCGCGTCCCTGCCGTTGACGAAGCGCTCGCCCTTGTGCGTGCGCTCGCACTTGCAGCCGGCGCCCTGCCGCTCGAAGTACTGCACGATGCGCGAGATCTGCGCCGAGCTGGCGCGCTCGTCGCACACGCTGTCCGAGCCCAGCGACGCCACGTCCTCCGAGCTGTCCGTGTACACGCTGGACGGCAGCCGGCTGCTGCCGCCCGCCGCCGAGTCGTCGCGCGCCGCGCAGCAGCAGCGCGACAGCACGTGGTACTCGCCTGCCCACCACATACTCGCTTTAAACAACTTTGTTTCTCATTAACACAATTGTCACTTACATGAGAACAATGAGTGAGTTTGGCAGAATAAACGCTAGCAAGCGCTTGTAAGCAAAATGGCGAACGTAAGCGGTAAGCGCTGTCAAATCGTAAGTAGCTATTTTCCTCTAGGACACGAAGTTAGCTTTAACCGGGGAACCTAACCTAATTTAAATATATGTTTCTAAATTATTCATATTACAAACTTACCAATCATGAATTTTTAATAACATGTATAAATATGTCTATTCATATCATTATATTACTTAAAACTAATATTGTACAAAACAACTTATAAACTCTATCTACTTCAAAACAAACAAATTAAATAAGCAAAATGGCGACTTGTGTCAGCGCTAATGAAGTTCGCAAACGTGTCCTTGCCGAAAACTGTTTAGTTTCGCCATTTTGCTTACAAGCGCTTGCTAGCGCTTTTTTCTGCCAAACGCACCCAATAACATCTATATTATAATTCTAGTCGTAGTGGGTAGTAAAAAAAAAATGCATCGGTCGATCGTTAACCAAGAAACGAGTTCATTGTCTTTCTATCAAACATAAGGCGGTGGTCCAAGTATAATTTTAATGCATAGTTTCATCATTATAACGCAAATATATTCAAATAATTTTCTTTTAAAAATATTGATTGAAGTCGCTTCTTTCACATGTTTTGGAAGTTGATTGTATTACTGTGCTCCCCCAAATGTTATGTCATTTTTTCCCTAGTTTGTTCTTACGGCAGGTAACACAAAATTGCTGGCTCGGCAGGTTATATATTTGTTTATTTGACTTTTTGTTGTGAATGTTATATACTAATTCAAACAACATAAACTTTTTTATGGATTTCGTCGCATATAATAACTTATTTTGTGTTCCCAACGTTTCGAGTACTTTCCAGCGTCCATGATAATAGGGGAGGGTGTGTGGGGGTGAGTTAGGTATACGTTCCAAAGTCAAAGTCATCCACGAATATCTTCAAACTATAATAATTACTTTTGACCAAATCACACTTACTTATTAATGATACTGCGCTAATGTGACACGAGTAGTGCGAGTAGTCACGAGATGAAAGTTCGGTATTAATTTGTAGACACTCACACCGCTGTGCGCTGTGCTCATGCACACGCCTGCATCGACACGTGAAAGCAAACGCAAGTTCGTACACTACGCTATACATTTGAAACGCTACCATTCCCACGCGACGCGTAATTAGCACTACAATATCAATATGTGCATGTGCAACGACACTTATAGAGCCTAATGCTAGAGTTTTTTTTAATTTCTTTAAACACATTAATCTCTAAAACTAACAATCCGATTTCAAGAATTATTTTTGTATATGATGTAGCCATACTCAATAGAAATAGCATAGGCTAAGCATAATCTAGGTTAAGGTACACACTCTTAGCTACCCTTAAATATTGTTTAAAGCCTTTGAGCTCACGTCTAGTCACGTTTAAATAGTATTATCCACAAGCATATAATATAGTTGCTATTCCGCCATACAATGCAAGATAAAGATATAGATAACTAAGTATATCCGTATTGAGGACAAAAATGATGGGGTGTTACTTAATTATAGTAAAATTTATAAAATATATTTTATTATAGTAAAGTAAGGATAGCTGCCCAATAAGAATCGAGAGGAAAGCCTTTACAAGCGAGGTGTTATGTCGCGCAGCTCAGACGCGTGGTATACGCGGGAAATATCTAGCGATAAAATACGTAAAAACTAGTTTTGTTTCAATACTACTGCTCGCATAAATATAAGAAACCATCACCAGACGGAAAATTGGAAAGTCATCACAAATAACCTGATTTCCATAGAAAAGTTTTGACACTATTATGAACATAATATCTACTATGAAGCAAAAGTAATCAATTATTTATTTTGTACACTCACACGAAAAATCTACGTCGCAGTTACATCCTTCTCACTGCTCTTACATAAAATATTTACTGAATTTTATTGAAAAATCGAAAAAGCTTTACATCTTAGAAACGAGGCATTTCATCTTAGTCCTCAGGGGGGATAACGCATGTACACTTTGATTCTTAATGCAATATAAATGTAAATATGTATGGGCCACAGCATCCACTCACTACCAGATGGACTGTGCGCTCGTTCCTCACCCATATCAGGAGTAGGATAATTGTAGGATTTGTTTATTGTAATCTCACTCTTTAAATCTCACTCTTTCACAGGCTAAATCCTATAGATGTATATGTTGTCTCTTTTTCAAATCACAACGATTGTACAGAAGTTTTCACTTCAAAAAATTATAAAATCTGACCGCAATCCTGACACCAGCTCAAAAGTCCTGACATGTGAAGACTCATCCTGACATACATATGGTGGTGTCTCTGTACTCACCCGACTCGCGCGTCTCCGTCGGCCCGCACAGGAACGGCGCCTCGTCCACCGCGGCGACCGACTCGTCTCCCGAGCGGCGACCGCGCGACAGCAGCCAGTCGTACACTATCAGGCACTCCGCGCAGATCCGCAGCCGGTCGCCGTCTTCGCGCCGGTCGTCGTGCCGGTCGTCGTGCCGGTCATCGTGCCGGTCGTCGTGCCGGTCGTCGTGGCGGTCGTCACGCTCGCGCCGCCACCAGCAGCGGTGGCAGCCGTTCAGCGAGCACGGGCACATGGCGCCGTACGCGCTCGGGTGCCGGCACAGCTCCTCGTTCGCGACCGAGAAGATGCCGCTCTCGCACGAGCCGCGACGCCGCAGCTCCGCGCTCGAATCGCCCTGCAATGTGTTATGCTTATGGTAACTTTATGATGTCCTAGTAATTATAGCAGACTGGCATCATAACAATTAACTTTTTAAAACTTATCTAATATATAAAAAATAATTTTTGTTTGTTCGTATTTTACGCGCTGTCACTCCTTTCATCAGACTGCGGTAAAACTTTATCAACACATTGCTTGCACTTCCGCAAAAGTTACAGGCACAGTTGATAGATGGCGCTGTTATATAATTCAGATATCACCCGGCAAATCGCTAGTTATTTATTTTAATCGCCCTGCAATATGTTATGCATATGTTTGCTTTATGATATTCTAATAGTAATAGCCGACTGACATCACAACAATTTACCTTCCTAAAATTGATTAGTGGTTATTTGACTACCTAGTTGATAGTGCTCAAAAACGCAAACTACTGATGAATATATGTACTAAAATTCCAGGACAAGCCAAAATCAATTATTAATTTTTTGTCAAGAAATTCTAAATTATTATAAAAGCAAACAATAATAATCATACAAACATCTTGTAATAAACTTCTTTCAAACATTAATCATTTTAGTTTTACGTCTGACTTGTTAATAATAAATCGTATAATCAAATATCTGTTGAAGATGCAAGCCCCGACTGCCGTAGTATTCTTGTGCCTTGCTTTTGGACCATCCTCGAGCGATTCTTGGCCTAGGTCCCAAGAATCGCTCGAGGACGGTCCAAAAGCACGGCTTAATTATCTTCATCGTCGAACTTTTATTTGTTCTTCCCAGCAGGACACTTTTTACTCTTGACTGCGAGATAACATAGCGTTTATGACTGCAAGTTAGATCGTGTAAAGGCAATAAAGGTGTATCAAAAAATAAGGTCATGCAATATTATACTCTACCACCTCAAATGAAATACTTTTTGAAAACTGTCACATTTATTGGACGAGGCATTCCAACGGAAAAATTATAACCTACAATATTCGACTAAACACCGAGTCTTTAGAGTTGGTTTGAAAGATTCGAATTTAAAATATTGATAAAGGACTATATATGTTGTAATGCAATATAGATAACTTCCTTCTTTGCATTTATGTAAAAGGTTATTTTTAATCGTGTGAGTACGCTTGTACAATGTTATTGCGGAATGTTTAATGTGAAACGTCAAAAAGTATTTCTTAGATTTGGTTCAGTATATATAAGGTGGCCTACCTTGTACGTCCTGATATGTTGGTAAGAGCAGATAGGTACTAGATAGTTGGTCAATAATTACGAATCTACTATGGTGTGTGGTAAGAGGATATTTTATTTAGTACATTCGCTAGAGCACGTTATCGCGGGTGCAAGACGTTTTATTTTAGAAATTGCTTCATTGTAATTTTCCCTGGAGATTTTGATGGACGGCATCAAGGGGCCTAAGCCAAACACATTACCTTAGTTGGTTGACATTATTGGTAGGTTCACATCACCTTTGGTGCACTTGTTCACCGTTTCCATTAATAGTTCCTATGAGCAGACATAAAATACACAAAATCCCACCACTTTTACATACGAAAATCCATTTAACCAAAGCGTTATTTAAACAATAATACAAGAGCACCAATCCGCCGAACAGTAGAGTTAGCAGCAACACGCGAGTCTGGCGTTATTGTGCACGAGTAAACGCACCTAAGATCGTGCTATAAGAAATTTGAGCGATCGGTAAAGCATATTCAGATCATCGACCGCTACATATGGACAAGTTAAGTAGCGACGCGCTCACCTTGTAGTGCAGCTTGGGCGCGTCGTCAAGGCGGCGGCGCGCGAGACGCGGCGAGGGCGGCAGCGAGCAGGCGCGCGGCTCGTCGTCGGACGCGCACGCCCGCCCTGCGCCCCCGCACCCCCCGCGCTGTCCGCGCCGCTTCCCGACGAGCACGGCGGCGGCGACCCCGACGAACAACGCGGCGCAGCCTGCGTCGATCAAACAACGCTCTTTACCCTTTAAGGCCTACGTCCACTAGACTCGCTGAGCAGAGCCGAATCGAATCGCAGAAAAGTTAAAGCCTATATACGTCCCACTGCTGGGCACAGGCCTCCCCTCATTTCTGAGAGGGTTGCGAATCGCATAAAGTCCCCTTCTATATATTTACTATGAAACTGCGTCCATTAGCAACGAGCCGCGGCGCGCCGAATTGAATCGACCGCGTGAATTGCTTGACAGGCGAATTTCTTCGCCAATGAGATTCGATTCAAGCGACTCAGTCGACGCGGAAAAGTGGATGGGCGGCAACGATTTTTATTAAATTCTATTTAGTTTTCATAAAAATATTTAATTACATTAATTATTTATATTATTATAAAAATTAATGAAGACCTTTTTCATAGGAAAACGACAGTATTGAAAAAAATTAACAGGATTTTCTCATTTAAATCCTTCGAATAAATTCTTCAAGTTCCAAAATAGCTCACTTTTTATATTTTTTCCAGTCTTTGATATTGACCCTTCATCATTAATTTATAAGTCACAGCTACGAAATTTAAATCGCCAAAGAAGTTTACGAAGGTACTCTTAAAGTTTTTTTTTTTGTTTTTTTTTGGAGAATAAGCTAATGACGATAGGCCTGTAGTTAGACGGATTTGAGCGGTCGCCATTTTTAGGAATCGGGTGGACGAAAGCTATCTTCCATGATTTCAGTAATGCGCCTAGAAAGTAGGACCGGAAAAGACGTGTTAGAACCGGTGCCAACGTTGGAGCACACGTTCTCAGTACAATTGGGGGGATTCCATCAGGCCCACTCAACTTGTGGATGTCCAGGGAGAGAAGTGTTTTGCGAACCCTCCTTGTCAATTAGATATTGTTCAGTATTTTGTGGTTTCGTTAGCTATTTTCTCCATATGAATACAGTGTGAACTGTGAACACTAAGTAACAATTATTATTATGATATATTGGACGTATGAACGTGGTTTATTTAAAGTCCAAAAGAATCAATATGTTATTTGATTTGACTTGACTTGGCAACTTTAGTCTTATTTAATTTAAAATACAAAAAAAACTGCGGTTCCTACTCGCCTGCCACGCGTGGCATCTATGACAAAATTCCCCCTTAGAGTAAATTTATGGAGGAGACTTACTTATGTTCAGCACTTTTACTGTAATGGTAGGTAGGATACGAAGATTTTAAAAAGAGCCTCGTACGATACGTAGGTAGGTACTAAGAATGTATAACAAGTGTGGTGGTTGACTCGCCTCGAGTATCTTGTGCACGCCGCGGAACGCGTGCAGGGCGCGGCGCGGCGCTTTGGGTGCGGCGTGCTCGTCGCGCAGCACCATCACGTGTGCGAGCCGCTGTAGGCGCGCCAGCCGCGGCGGCGCCGGCGCGGCCGTCAGCGCGCCCGCCGACCGGTGCGCCGCGCCCCCCACCCCCACGCCGCCACCAGCGCCGCCCCGCCACAAGCACTCCAGCTCCGACAGCGAGCCGCGGTGCGCGCCGCCTGACTCAGCGAAACATTGCCACTCTCATTATGTGCTCCTGGTACTTTGTACTAGAGATGTTACGGAGGTTCGATTTCGATTTCAGTTCCGATAAATTTTAATCGAAAGTTATACCGGAGGTCGATGCATAGCGGCGGTAGTGGCCGCTATCAGCGCTTACAAACAAGTTTATACTTGTCGCGCGGGGAACCTACCTGAAATGATTGCTTTCTAAGATCTTCTTTCAATTTCGTGGAAGGTATTGGATTCAGACGACTTATGCGGTTCATAATGCCGAATTATCAGTTAATCATAATCATAATTTATTTGCAGAAAACATGGTACATTACAGGTTGGTAAATTATTTAAGTCCAGCATGTTTTGTCATAATGTTGACATACAAATATTTATCTAAAACATTAATTACATTTTCACAACTAATAAATTAATAACATGTTTTCAAAATCATTATAATAATTTTATTACATTTAATTTAATTAAAATAATATGATAGTATTTACATAATTCATTTCAATATCGATCCCTAATCCTAATCAAAAAATCTAACCATTGTTTGACAACCCTGCGAAAACGTACCTTTGGGAGTGATTGAAACTCTATAGGCAGTGCATTGAAAATTTATATACACATAGCTGAACAATTTTTCCTATAGAGGCTAATGCTTGGCATTACACTATGTGTCAATCTTTCAGTATGCCTCAAGTTTCTCTGTGCAGTATTTCTTAGCTTTGTGAATAAAAATATATTATTTTTAACAAAACATACCAAATTTAGTATGTACATACATGGCAGCGTCAAAATGTGTAATTTTTTGAAATACGGTTTACACGATGAATCTGGTGCCAAACCATTCATAGCTGGAATACATTTCGTTTGGGCTGTAAAGGCTTTAATAGCATCTGTACTGTTACCCCAAAGCAAAAGACCATAATCGAGTGCAGAATAAATGTATGCATAGTAGGCCGTTAGTAAGGTTTCATGAGATGTAATTCTTCTCAGTCTGCTAAGAAGAAAAATGTAGCTATTTATTTTAGAACAGACTTTTTCAACTTGGGTTTTCCAGTTCACATGTTTGTCCAATAATATTCCCAGAAACTTTGTTTCAGTCATTTCATTAACAGATTGTCCATTGCAATATATATTAAGATTATTATTCAATGTTCCATAATTACTAAATTGAATATAACATGTCTTTTCTATGTTAATGCATAAATTATTATATGTCGCCCACTTTGAAATATTGTCAATAGTATTATTAATATTAGATTCATAGATGTCAATGTCAATGTCTTTTTTTAGATGTCACAATAACTGAAATATCATCAGCAAATAAAATACATTTGTATAAAGTTGAGTCAGGTAAGTCATTTATATATAAAAGGAAAAGAATTGGCCCTAATACGGAACCTTGTGGAACTCCAAATGAATTTAATCTATCACTGGATTTATAAGAAGTTAATGTCTGTGAATTATCAATATTTGTTAATTCTACAAATTGTATCCTATTTCTTAGATAGCTAGCAATCCAATCTAGGACAGGGCCTCGAAACCCCAAATTATCAAGTTTTTGTAAGAGTATTTTGTGGGATACAAAGTCAAAGGCCTTCGACATATCAAAAAAGATAGCTGTAACTCTTACCTTATTATTTATAGCCTTAACAATTGGATCAACAAGATCATATCCAGCAAGGCTTGTAGATTTATTAATGCGAAGATAGTTTTTTTATCGAATACTTATTTATATTTTTGATGAATAATGTGTGTTGTTTTATTTTATTAAACATGCTCTGAACACATAGCTATCTCTTCTGCCTTCACCTCCGATTCCGGTTCCGACAAGAAGAAATTGAAACCCTGCTACCAAATTCGGTTCCGATATAAACACTTCCGTAACATCCCTACTTTGTAATACACATGTGTCAATCGTGAATGATTCGCTCATTTAACCTGAGTCACACCAAAGCATTGATTATTGCAGTCACTTTTTTTAACGTTCCGGATTAAACAATTGACAAGACCTACGACTAAAGAGTATGACCAACGACCGTTATTATGGAGCGCAATCGAGCGGGTCTCATAGATCAGAAGAGTACTGAAACTCAAAATGATCCATTTGAATGATCGAACCGAATGAATGCTTGAATGATCGAGTCACTAGAAATGAATGAAGGACACATGTCTACTTTGTAGTATTTTTATCTCACAAATACTTTTAGATCAGGAGTAAAGCGGACCCGCCTTACTTGTGCGTGAGAAAAAAATACCTGAAATGAATATGAGTGAGAGTTAGGGCACACGTACGGTCGCGGTGGTGCGGACTTCCTTCAGAACGGTGGCGCGCGGGCCGGCGCCACGCCCACAGCCCCGGGCACGAGCGCGGCCCCGACGTGTCCGCCTCCTCGCTGCAATACAACAAATACATACTTGTTATACTGCTCTCTCCTATAGTGATCGAAATACGACCGTAATTCATAAAAAATTAAGTTTGTATATTAAGCAAACCGTATTTCACTTTCAACTGCATATTGAAACACACATATCTCTATTTATATAAAAATAAACTGCTGTCCGTTGGTCTCGCCAAATCTCGAATGATTTTGATGAAATTTTTTGAGTGTGTTTGAATGAGCCCTTGGTTATCGAGTTCCTGTGAGCTACCTGTTTTCGTAATCCAGAAATTACCCTGCGAAGCCGAGGCGGATCGCTAGTTTTATATTAAGCAAACGCTTTTTGCCTTGACATGGACTATTGAAAAAGCAACATTGGAAATCAATCAAAATTAAGTAAAATTAATTGTTAGCATTTTTTTTAAATACAATGCTATTGCTACAATCTATACTCTGTGTATCTGATTGACCACAGACAATTTAACAATGGCAGTATGAATGTAAACAGTGAATTTAATTTAATGTACATAGTTTTATATAAAAAAAATTAGCTTTCTGCACTTCTCCATATAATCTTTAACTATACCAAATCTAACTCTCGCCTTTGCATGTAATATGATTAAAAATGGGTACTAAGCTTTCCCTTCACGTATTAATATATAGAGAAGATATTTGTTTATGGTGTAGGTACCGTGAAATGGTCAATCTGATTATTCGATAAAATTGCCTCTAGATTTGTCTGCATCTCTGTTAGCGTCAGTTTATTTCTACTGTTTACTATTAGTCAACATTTTTCTTTTATTTCGGCAACCTTTAACTTAGTGTCAATTTTGATGACAGAAAAGACGATTATTATAAAGGTGTGAATACAAGTTTTATACCGTGTGAAACTTTAAGTCAAACATTAAGTTCTTCAGTGTTTGCTTGTTGCAAACTTGTTTATTTAGAGATTTAAGTTTCTCATCTACTAACTAACATTTAATACAAAGGTAAGTATCGATATTCAACAATTTTATTCTTTTAGATAGTAAAATCAAGATGCTTATATTTTTTTCTCGTATTTGAAGTGAATAAATACGATTGAGGGGTGAATAAAAATGCCTTTGGAATCAATAGAAACGAAAATAAAATAATAGAAACATGGTTTTTAGGGTTGTAAAAACCATTTGCACCATTTATTTACTACATAAATTAATTTAGGAAGCTAATTGAAAGTAAAATAACAAACGTTTATACTATATTGAAGGTATTTAAAAGTCCATTTCTATTATAAATGTTAAACTTGGATATTTGTTATAAAGTATTTAAAATTTCAAATACTTGAGGTTTTACCATTACACCAGATAGAAGTTTCTGCAGTAAATACACTTTGTTCATATGAATTAGTTCTCTCTAGAAGGTAAATATATCATTCATTTATTTGTATTTTATTTTTTAACAGAGTCGCTCGGTATATGAGTCAAAAAACTATCTAAGCGGTGCGGAATGGGTGTGATATCCCCAATCCCGCAATTACGTCAGTTGCTTTTTTTGTTTAGGGCTTACATAATTTCACAAATAAGTAAATATATTATAATTAGTGTTATATAGTTCAACAAACAATGGAACATTTTTTATTTTTATTATTTAAAAGCAATATGTTCATAACTATGTAAACAGTTGCCTATTTATTTTAATGACTTTTTATCAGAAATACTTACGGTGCAAAGCATTTAGATAAAATTACTCCGATATTTTAACGTAATATATGTAATTGTTTAAATATTCGATTAATTATTTTTTATAATGACAGTTTTGATGTAGTTATTTTCTTTTAATTTACTCACAACCCACATACTACAACAAAATCAAATTTAACAATCCTAGTATTTTTTCACTATTCACCCCTATGTTGCTTATTATATCAATTGACTCCGGATTCCCGGTAAATAGAAACCGCCTACTTTTTCTAAAATACAAAGAATTTACATGTTTTAACACATTTGACGCATTAGTATTTGATAAACCAATAAGACTCACAACTTCAAAGTGTTTTTTTATCAGGTGTATACAAGATATGTAAAAAAACAGTGTAGAAGTTGAAACTTGTGCCTATTCACCCCAGATGTCTCGTGGTCGCCGATAGATATAGCGATATAGCGTATCACGTATAATACATCATTATGTGGTGACACTGCCGCTGCTTAAGAGTCCGTCTGGGCACGTACAGACCTGTTACCTATTCCTGCCGCCAACTAGGCCTCAGTTCACCTTGCCGTGGAACGGAATGGAAGCAAATTTTCGTAAAGAAATCGTATATTAAATAAAATGAATTTTATGTTGATTGTGTAACGTGGAAACTAGATATTAGTAGTCAAAAAGATCTCTCTCAAATTATGAACCCACATATCTCTTTTCCTTTTTCTGATATTCTTTCTTTTCTCATCACTTTTTTCCTCTTCCGCCACACAAATGAGCAATATGAATAAAATATCCATTCGTTTCTTGTCAAATAAAAGATCTAGTAAGTGAACATCGTCTACAGCCTGAAGGCGCAGTCGCGGGAATGCTCGAGCATTCTCGCGAATTGGCGCGCGTTCTCGCGCGACGTAGTCGAAATTGACGCTTTCCGTTCATTCCGTTCCGCCGCAATGTAAATTGAGCCTAACCTAGCTTAACACTGCGGGCACTGTTGTGTTTCGATCTGCAGGGCAGGCATTATATCTTAGTAGCCACAGGTGAGAACGTCAGATACGTTGTCATATTGATCCTTAATCGAGGATATATGTAGATGTCTATGGGCCATAGTATTTACTTATCATCAGGTGGACTACACTCGTTTGTCACCCTTCCGAAAAACCAGACGTAAGATCAGGGACAGGTACTTATTTATATTAAATATTACCTGCCAAAGGAGCTGTTAGGCGAATGGCCGCCCCACGTAGGGTCGTCGAGACCCTCCTTTATCTCGGCGAGTTTGCTCACTATCTCGGGGAATAGCGGCCTCGCCTTAGCGTCATACTGAAATTAACATAATACAAAACTTATTGAAACTGTCTAAGTTACGTCTCGTAAGGGAGTTACCACAACAATCGATCGATCGTAGGGTGGAATGGATTAGTCGACGTTGATCGATAGTTTCTACGACACCGATCGTTCGATGGTAGAATGGATTAAACGATGTCGATCGAGCTGCTTGATCATTCGAGAACCCGCCCCGCTCTATCGACGAATATTTAAAATGTCGTCTAGATGAATTTAGGTTATCTATGGCTTTAAAAACGGTCGCAGAGTTCGCTGCGTTTGCGCCTCCATAATAATAATACGAGTAAGAACGTACTGGCCAACAATAACGCCTCCTCTTCTAAATATATTTTGAAAGATACTGATGATGAGCCCACGGCCACATCAATGATGATTGAACAACATTTTATAGACCAGTATCCGTCGATCAGCTAAAGCTACAACACCAATCGAACGACATCGATCGACGTCGATCAATGACTTAATGCGACGTCGATCAATGTCATCGATCGACGATCGATCGATTGGTTTGGTAACACCCTCATCGAACGTGATAGATGTGAGTGAATGAAATCTGATTTCGCTGTAATTGTACCAGGAAATAATAAAATAGATGACACTGATGTATCGGTGTCATGTATTTTACTATTTTATTTTTAAGCACAAGGCACCATAGTCTAGTATACTATTTCTATTTTATTCTATTTAAGGAACTAGAGCACAGTAGGGTTATAAATTCCATCCACTTTGGTAACCCACCAGCAAGGTATACGGCGATAGTATGTATACAAAGAAATAATTAATTGAGTTGAAATTGATCCACCAGTTTCCCATAAAATACAGGAAACACATATGCCAGCTATTGTAAGCAAGCTACGGATTACAGTGGTCTCATCCCATGAGTAGCTGATAGGATTGACTTTAATTAAAAATGTGTGCATGCAACAGCTCTAAATTTCACATACACGTGACAGGCCCCGGCTCTGCACACAGCTTGATGATTATGGGAATATATTTCTATTAAGTACGTAAAACATCTCACAGTACGCGAGCGATCCGGGTTCGATTCCCGTTGGCACCAATGAAATTATTAATTTCAATTTTAAGCGCTGATTTACGACGTGCTCGACAGTGTAGGAAAACATCATAAGGAAATCTGTATGTCTGAGAAATAAGAAAAAAATATTTCGAATGTGACATGTGAAGTTCGCTAACACGCCATGGGTCAGCGCAGTGGACACTTCCTTGCCCTAAAGCCCTCTCAGAAATGAGAGGCCTGTTGGGCAGTGGGACATGGCTGTAATTTTTTAAATTTAAGTATGTAAATCTGCTAGTGTATTCCTAAAAAGTCTGAAATGCTTGTTAAAAAACGAGGTCCTAGTTCTTATATCGCAGAAAAATCTAAAATAAATGATATTTTAGATAGGTAGGTAAATTTACCAGGGCATCTTAAATGGTAACACATGTTAGATCTGAAGACGACCGTGGGAGGACCTAGCAAGAATCGTCTCGTCTTTGATAGAGTATGTACTAGGACACCATATAAGTATGCAGGTACGAGGAGAGGACATAGTTAAGCGGATTAGTAAGCTAAAGTGGCAGTGGACCGACCATGTAGCTCCAAGAACCGACAACCGATGGGAAAGAAAGGTTCGAGTGGCAGCCAAGTACCACAGATGGAGTGACGTCTTTGGTAAGATATATGCAGGACGATTGTGCCTTATAAAATTCCTTGGGGGAGGCCTATGTTCAGCAGTGCACTTGTGAAGGGTTATAATGATGATAATGTTGATGTACCAGGACAGTATACAACATGAGGCACTTACAATGCAGCAGTTAAAGGCGAGACGCAGCAGCTCGGGCACGGTGGTCTCGTCGCACAGCTCCACGAACGCCACGTAGTTGAGGCCGAAGTTGTCCGTGCGCGGCAACACGTCCGGGTCGGCGTCCACCTGATAAAACCATCGAGATTTCTTAAAAAACAAAACAGATGAAGGTATAGGATAGACGTTGGCACGAGTTTTGGCCGCCGCTGAACAATTTTGTTGAGGCATTACAAGACCGTATGGTGTTTGTACCAATTATTGACTTTTGGGCGAAAATTAAATCATTTGGGTTAAGATTGTAGCATCAGTTTACTTACAACAATCTTTTACCCGCAATTTCGTATGCATACAGCTTGAACAAAAAAATAACTCAAGTTTTTGGTATTATCTTGAAAATTATGTGTGATATGGGAAAATGTTATTCAATAAAACTTTTTCATATCTCGCGCTTATGAGATTATCAATTATCACTGAAAACCATTTATTTTTAGTCTTTCGATTTAACAAATTAATACCTGAATTTATTTCAGACAAATATAGCCTAGATGTCCTGATATTGCTCTCTAACTAACTGTTCGTAACGTTTCATTACATTCGTAAGTCATTTTGAAGATAAAGAAAGAAAAATTTCTAAAAATGTTTCTTGATTTTGCTCTTCTTAATTCTAAAATCCAAAAACCGGTATAAATAAATCTCCGAGCTTCAAAGAAACCAGTTACTTCGATATGACACTCAGGACACTTAAATTTTATTAATATGTATGCATAAAGTTATGTTTAAGCGACTTACCCTGGCGATAAGCTGACATAGTATAATCCCGTAGGAGAAGATATCGGAGCGGTGGTCGTACCAGCGGCCGCGGAGACACTCCGGCGACATCCACCACGGCGAGCCTACGCTCGGCAACCGATATCCGTTTCTGGAAATAATATCTCATATCAGTCTACCAATAATATATATATACATACACACACATTTATATATATATATATATATATATATATATATATATATATATATATATATATATATATATTACCTGGATGACCGAGCTTTCCTCGGTTTTAATAAAAAAAAATTGAAAAACAGAATCCTAGCTAGATTGTTAGTGATAGTTGGAGCCGTTTCCGAGATTCCGTTTATATATATATACAAGGTGTCTCAAAAGTAAGTTCACATTTGCTTATCTTATTACGCGAAAGCAACTATTCTGAGGGGCGCGGGGGGTATGTCAGTCGGTAGTCTGGCTCTTGGGAATTTAGTCGCTATGGAGCGTTTCTCTGGTGCGGACCGTGCGTTGTGCGTACGTGAGTTTTACAAAAACGGTAATTCGGCGACTGTAGCGCGTAGAAAATTCTGCAGTATTCGACATATTCGTCACTTAAATGATGCGCCTAGCACTCGTCTCATTGCAAAATGGGTTGAGAAGTTTGAAGAGACTGGGTCAACTCTGGAGAAACCAAAATCTGGGCGACCAAGAACATCAAGAACAGCCGAAAACGTGGACAGTGTTACTCAGTCTATTCGAGATGATCCAAACCTCTCGATTCGGAAGCGTGCTGTTTCTTTAAATGTGCACAGATCTTCATTATGCCGCATTTTACACAAAGATTTAAAGCTGCACCCGTACAAAATTCAGTTAGTGCAAGAATTGAAGCCTCAAGATGCTGGTCAGAGGCTTGCCTTTGTAAATCAGATGATTGAGCGCTTTCCAACGTTCACCAACATCTTGTTTTCCGATGAAGCCCATTTTCACCTGAATGGGCATGTAAACAAGCAAAATTGTCGTTACTGGAGTGCAACCAACCCAAAACAAAAACATCAGAAACCGCTACATTCACCCAAAGTCACCGTATGGGCAGCGATGTCGGCGCGAGGAATTATCGGCCCTTACTTTTTTGAAGATGGAAGGGGACGCACACTCACAGTGAATTCAGAGCGTTATGTGGAGATGTTAGACGAGTTTTTCGTACCCCAACTGCAAAACTTTCCTGGTTACAACCAAAGAACATGGTTCCAGCAGGATGGAGCAACTTCACACACGTCCAACAGATCTCTGCCTCGAGTTCGAGAAATTTTTCCGAACAAATTAATCTCCTGGCGAGGTGACATAAATTGGCCTCCACGCAGTCCCGATTTAACGCCTATGGATTTTTTCCTGTGGGGTTATGTCAAATCAAAAGTTTACGCTAATAAACCGACTTCACTGGCACAATTAAAAGAAAATATCCGTCATGAAATGGCAGCCATCACGGAGACTACCTGCCGAGCTGTCATAGGCAATTTTAGTGCCCGACTAAATGAATGCCGAGAGCGCAACGGTTTACATTTGGACAATGTTATTTTTAAAAAATAAATTCCCAAACAGTGTACTTCAATATAAAATAAACATTTTTTCAATAAAGCTAAGACTTTTCTTTTAAAAAAAAGATTTAAATGTGAACTTTCTTTTGAGACACCTTGTACTTAACCCATTTTAATCAAATTTGCACACCGTGTGCAGTTTGGTCCATCTTGAGAGATGGATAGTTTTTTTGCTAATGGATATGACAGAGTCGTAGAAAAGGGCAGAACAACGTCTGCCTGGCAAGCTAGTATATATATATATGTGTAATACCTGGATGACCGAGCTCTGCTCGGTTTTAATTAAAAAAAATTATGCAATTAGTTTAATTATAATTTTTGTATTTCTAAAAAAATACTAAAAAAGGGCTCGAAATAATAGATTTTCTCACAAAAGAAGGGAACTTGAAAAAAAAAGGAAAAAAAATCAGACCGACACAGGACGCGGACATTACGATTTCGCGACCGCTCGATATCCACTTGAGCTATTACGATCATTTACACAACGTCAAAATTTACCTTCTTATATTGTAGCAGTTTTTCATTGCCTGAAAACACGGACAAAAAGACATTTTCTAGAAAAAAATCCTAGCTAGATAGATTTATTGTCCACGAAACTTCCTGGACACAAAATTTTATGATACTCTACATATTATATAGTAGTTTATATATATATATATATATATATATATATATATATATATATATATATATATATATATATATATATGTATATATATACACGAACAAAACAATGCCTCAGGCAGAAAATGATTGTATAACACGTGGATCATTAAAACGATAACAAATATAGGTGTCCTAAGTTTGTGGCGATTTGCAGAAATATTGTCTATTGTTATGCAGGCGGAAAGTATATCGAGTACAAGTAACCTTTCGATAAAAAGTAACCTTTGGTGATGGTTGGAAAATTTCGAAACAGTATTAAGCAATTTTGTTGCCTATTCCTCACATCACGAGGCTGAATGAAGGATTCTTTTGCCACCAGACAAAACAGAAATATTTGCAAGAAAAAATAATTTACTGTGAATCGAAAAAATTGTCATTAACCCAAAGCAACCACACTCTATGCCTAAATTGAGCGTTTATAAGACTGTACAAGCATAATTGTGAACATTTTGAAATCTGAATAGATTTACACATAACGACCCGTTTCGCCCCGTGACATAGCTTATATAGCACGTAAAGTTGCGTGCCAACAGCGTCCATACACCGTTGCTATCACATACGACGTATTGGGCGTGAAAACTCTTAATTACCGAAGGCTCACCTACACTCAATCACGCGTGATGTGTAGGTATATTTTTTAACCGTGGTGAATTATCACGTTTTTTACCCGCCTATCTAAAAAGTAGTGTACTGTTTTTGTGTTAATGCTTTGGGCGGATGTACGTTACTTTTTGTTGCGTGCTTAAGTCTTCTTCGTAGTCGCCTAAACAGCTTGTAGGATTTTGAAGTAGGTTGGTGATAAAACCAATAGGGCGTTCGTAAAACGCAATAAGGTACTTACTAATACATATAATTATTGAAAAACATGACAATTTTATATCAAGCTCGTATTATAGTATTACTATGCGTATACTTACACTGGATCAGGTATTTTTTCTGCTAAACCAAAATCTGCCACAACAGCAGTGTACTGGCCTTCTCCATGCTTTTTCAATAATACGTTCTGAAACGTAAAATAGCAGATAAAGTTGTTGTTTAATAATAAAATACCTAATAAAAAGGAATGGTTAACATTATGTACAGGTTGTTTCTCTCTAGCTATATTAGTGACGCCGTGTGATGGCTGCGTAAGTAAATCCACAATCATCATCCCGTAGGCGGTGCAGGAGCCGACAAAGGAAATCAAAACAGGAGATGGGCACCAGCCATTGAGCTATTATGTACTACGTACTAGAGGCGACACTGCATTCAGCTACTCTGTTCCACTCAACTGCGGTGCATACACCGCACTTTAATCAGTCAGTCGCTAGGTGCTTGTAGAGTTGACACGTGTTGTGTTGATTTAAAAAAAATCTCTTGATAAAAATATGCCGTCGTGTGTACTTAGATATTGCACAAATAATTCAAGAAATGTCAGTAAAAACCAAGGTATTATTTTTCATCGGTTAATAAGATACTTAATCAATAAAAAATTATTATAACTTAATAATAAAACAAAATATTCCTAAGACGCCATCTGGTGTCATGCAATATAGATTATGAAATTAATTTGTTCAGATACGACATTTCTGTGGGTACTTAAGTATAGGACGAATATATTATTATACACATTTTTTTTTGTAGAAACATATATGAGTTATCATAATTATACCAACTTTTTATATTTAAATCTACTCATTATTCTTTTATGTTATTTATAGGTTTCCACGTCAAAGTCAAAGTAGAATAAATTCGTCCATTTCTAACTCTCGCGTGCCCAGCATTTATGAACGTACCTTATTCTAATTTAAATAAATATATTTGTAATTTAAATTTTATACTTATTAATAAGTTTTTTAAACATACATTTAGTATGTTTTTTTATATTTGACATAGATACCTTGTAAAATATTCAGATAAAAATACTATTAAAATGTAATTGTGATATAATATTATGTAATATTATATTAAATAAGCGAATATAATATACAAAATAAATGACAAAATTTGAAAATTGTTCTCGATATAATTTACCTATTTAACAATACAATCTATTATTACCTACTGATCATTCTACCTATGTTTATTTTATGATAAAAAAACCAACCGCGCGAACACAGAGTAGCGCACATGTTTTGTTTGAAATAGCTGTTCTAGTACGTAAGTACATATTACTTCAATGGCACCAGCAGTTGTTATCTTCTTGATAACAACTGAAAATCATAAAACCCGTTGTAATAAAAAGTATTAGTTACAAGATTTTATTATAACATATTTTTTTATGTTCGTGATATCGTTTCTTAAATTTAAATAGTGATAAAAAGCAGCCATATTAGAATCGGTCAGCTCGACCGTGGAAGAACCACGCTCTCAAAAATCACAGAAAAAAAAATAGCAGCATAATGAAATTGTAATGCATCTATGTGACGAGTCAACTCTTACAAAATTACTTACAGGACTAGAAAAAGAAGGCGCTACAGTATACAAGCATATGAGTCAATTTACTCCTATTATTTACACTAAGTATTTCACTCCAACTAAAATCAGAAAAAAATATGGCATTTCCTTTTTTAACACTGAAAATTATCATCACTGGGTTTATTTATTTATTTGTATGGATCTCAAACAGTTGTACAATTAGTTACATTTAACACATGCCTTACTTACATCTACAAATTAAGTACTATGTAGTACCAATTATAGGAGACACATCATGCCACAACAATAATAGTGTTTATATTTTGCTTGAAGTGATTAACTTGTTTTAAAATGGTAAAATTTTTGATGGCAGTTGGGACAAAATAAAAAAAGTGGTTCCCAAGTAAAGTTAAACTGGCAAGCACACTTTCACAGAGTTACCCGTTATTAACAATGCTGGCCAGGCGAATTGGTGCAGGTGTAGCTGAACTTGCACTGAATATGCTATTCCCATCCCGAGTTTGTGACACTTTGTTTCAGAATTATTGGTATCAATTGATGGTCTAAACCTATCTCTCTGCCCATCAAACCAGGAACAGAAAGTATATCATAATAGTGAAAACGACCAGGAGAACATAATAGTATAACCATACTTAAATTATAACAGGCCAGGATCTCATACAAAACTAAAACTTTTTTTTTCGCAAATCGTAAAGTCGCAGGTAAATCTCGTCTGTGGATCATCGTAAAACAAAGGTTTCGTCAACCGACGCGCCAGGCTCGTGGTGTGCCACCGTTATATGAAATTTGACACGTTATATATAATCAAAAAAAAAACAATCACGCTCGCCCATTTGTGAGGAACGATGAGCCGCGGGTTATTACAGACTTTTTACTTTCCTCTATATACTCCTGAAATGTCAACAGCATCGGTCTTGTAAATTGCGTGTCGTTGGCACGATACGTCGGTGGATATGCTACTTCATTACTGTGGAACATGCGAAGTTCGTTGCGCGGAGTTGGCGTATTTACTCTGTCTTCAATCGACAGACTCATCAGTAATTGACGGTGGCAGCATTTTCCTTCGAATCTTACTCCTAGCAGTTTATGCCATGAATACTTTATATCAACAATTTTATTTGTTGTGCATGGTTGCGCTCCAAGTAGGCTAAGCAAGATATATCCTACTTTATCCTTCCTCCCTTGAGTACCAGTCGTAAACACTTCTACCTTGATAGGTACATTTTGAACGCGGAGACTTCGAAATCTCCTCTTATCAGCTTCCCAAACTAACTCGGCATCAAAGGCTGGCGCATGAGTTGGCACCACAGGGTCCGTCTCGAGTACATATCCATTTAGTGAGCCACTGACTACAAACGGTATTCTCAGGAAACCAAATCCAAGTCCTTCCTTAACGCGAAGGACTATTTGAATATTCGGTCCTCGTAATTCATCCATAATTATATATTAGGGCGATATTTCGCCCTAATCTTCGATTAGGGTCTTTAGAGGTCTTGCAGAGGTGCGTGCATGTGTTTTTTTCGGGTATTTGTATAATTGAGTTAATGGTATAGTCATATATTTTTACTGTCTATGCCGCCGTTGTTTTTGTTTTTTGTTAAATTGTTACCTTAGACGTGAGGTCCCTGTGGAAGACGCCGATTGAGTGCAGGTACGCCATCCCAGCAGCCATGTCCGCGGCGAGCGACACGCGTAACGGTTGCGGAACTGGTGCTGGTGGGCAGCCCAGAAGCAGCTGCTCCAGGGACCCGCCCTCCATGTACTCCAAAAGCGCGTGCAATTGACTTTCGTGTACGCACACGCCAACGAAACTAAGAGAAAAGAAACTAAATAAGCATACGGAATCGGAATATTAACTGCAGGAAAATAGTTTAGTTATTTTAAATAGTTTTGGCAGACGGTTGGCACCGGCAGTGTTTATTATTTTAAGTTGTTATTCAGCAAGGTATCACTTTTCTAATCCCTAATCTCCTGAATGGCCAAATAAATCAGAAACACTAGGCTGCATCTTTGAAACAGGAGTTTATGATTAGATTATAATTTCGAAATTAGAAATGAGTCGCTGTAAATCAGGTGTCAAGAGCCTAGGTTAAATTTCATTTCAGCAAAATGATTTATATTCCTGCAGTTACCAATAAAAATGTTGGTCGCAATTTAAACTGTTCATTTAACATGTGCTCGGTATGAGGAGATACTGTGCAAAATCTGCAATTTGAGGACGTCCCAAGTCCTCCAATACGCATTAGATTAGCGTGGAGGATTCCTCACTGATCGAAAATCGTCTCAATAATGAAAATGTATAGAACTATGTACTATACAGTTGCTTTACTCCTTACGCAATGGAGAAAAAAACAGCAGTTTAATGAATTATTAGGGGAATAGGCATTTTCGTTCAATAACATCACAAAGAATATCGATAAAATAAAATTAAAAACTATGTTTGTAGTTTAAGCAATAAATGTTTTTTTATAGTTTTTAGTAGCAGTGATAGTGTATGAGACTCCTGAAACTAAGTATATACTAGGTGGAAATCCCAGATTAATGATGGTAAGCAACACCAAAGTTACAAGCACTGGTACTGAGTTAAACTAATCTCCGAGAAGTCTACAGTCTGTGACTACGCTCAGAACCGTCTCCGCCATTACATCAGATTTGATAAACAACAATTTTGAAAAACAAAAAACAACAGAACAACGATTTCTACCAAGGATGATAAGTGTAGTTGTTGAAATTCAAAAACATCATTATTTCAATCGACAAGGGATCCCATAATTAATAAAAATAAATCTAAGCCCAAGTGCAAGACTTCAAGACACTGTAGGTATTCACTTGTGTATATCGCATCAAAAGTTAACAATTAAAAGCTGAAAGTAGGCTAGATTGACTACGACATGAAAACGTCATAAACCTTACTCTCCCCAACTTCACATGCAAAACGTCAATAATTTAAAATAAGTGAAAGGGAAACTAAATAACAGAAAATTTTAATTTAAATTTTAATTATGATACTGATATAGTAAATTATGATATTTTGAATTATATAACTTACATTTAATAACTTGACATATTAGAATCGACTACCACCTATATTATTTGGTAATTTTAAAAAAAAGTTTGCATGCCGTATCTCATGGCTAAATAGGTCTTTAAGCAACTTATTTTTATTGTAAAAACCTATCACTTACCCTATTTATGGCAATTAAATAAATTTGAATTTGAATTTGAAAGTCCGAAAAATTAGTTTTATTCAGTGTGTATATAGCATTCGCGTAAATGTAAGAAATCATTATGTCAATACTTGGTTACCGGAAAGACCGATTCCCAGCGGCGAAATATCCACAGGTAATGATGAAATATTTTAGAACTCTTGAAATTCAAATGAATGTCTGCGTTCCACAACAAATAAACGAAAGACAGTAATCTGCAATCGAGTGAAAGCGTTCGTCAAAACATGCATCTCGAGAACAGGCGGAGGCTGATGGAAACTCGTGGAAACCACCAGCGGCGTTCTCTCCAATTTAAATAACAGATAAATGTGAAACTTCAACATAAAATCGACAAAGTATTGAACAACAATAGATCTACAAGAATAGATTTTAAACCATTTGTACATCTATATTTTTTTTTATAGAATTAAGGCGATAAGCGAGCACAAAGTCCACCTGATGTCAAGTGAATATTGTATTATTATTGCCCATAGACGTCTATCCTCGATTAAGAATCAATATGCAGATGCGTCGTCACCCCCGAGGACTAAGATGTACCTACAGCCTCTTTTCACACAACACCTCGAAACACAACATTACTCTGCTGTTTTACGTTGATTTGTGAGAGCGTGGTCTTACCCCGGTCGATCCGACCCATAAGTGTTTTAATTTAGCTGCACCTTGGCTCTACCTTGTATATATTTTTGCAGTTGTAAAACATTCAAAGAGCAATTTTAAAAAAATTTTTTAACCCCCGACGAAAAAACAAAGGTGTCTTAATCGATAGTGTTCTTAGCTATGTTTCAAGAAAATCTGTTTACCCATTTGAAGATCAGCTCTTTTTGTTCCGGGTGTTTTAATTATTTTAATTCATTAGAAGAAAATTTATTAATAATTTCTATGTTTATTACTATTACATTTAAGAAAAATTACATAAGAGAAATGTCTTGAAAATTCTCCCACGACATGTTAATATTCGTATCCAGACAAATCACGCTTTATCCTGTCAGCGATGTCTTCACGTCACACGTAGTCGATGACGCGAAACAAGAATGATGTCGACGCGCGATAGGTCCCCGCGATTCAATCGATGCAAATTGCCACTTAAATCGCTCGCGTGCAAACATGTATCCGGAGAGGGCTCAATTACACACAACTACCGTGAAATAATAAAAATAAATCCGATGTACGACGCGCGTGCACGCAACACCGCTGTCGAAAGTGAAATCCTTACTAGGAAGTCTACACGGTTTGATCTTACGATGATTGGGGAGCGTTGGTTGAGAGGATGGTACAGCAACACAACTGTAATTGTCGACAATACTGAATTGTGACTGATTGTGACTGCCCTACTTATATATAAACATTAACAGTTGCCTTGCTTAAAATTGGTCAAGATAAACCACAGATGTTTTTTTTTACAGAAATGTCTATGAAATGGGTACGTACGTCACGTGTACGTACTAGACCGCCGCTTCATACGTATTAGACGACTGCATCTTAGCTCTAGTGACCGTAAACTCGATTGCTGGTCATGAGATTCCCGGGTTCGAAACGTGGGTTAAGCTAAAAATTTGTTATTGTGGTTTTCTCTGAGCAAGTTCTCAGTAGCAGTCTGTAGTCAGGAAGTTTACGGCGTTTCCCCCCCGTGCCTCGGAAAGCACTTAAAACCGTTGATTTTCTCCCATCGCACTTACGAATTTACTCCGATAATACTAAAATACCGTTCCATCGCACTATGAGAGTGAGGGAATAAAGAGTTCACCTGTACTTGTGCATACACGTGGACACTATAATCCTGTCCTGCGCAGATCGCCAGTCAGCGTTGAGACTGGCCGCGGTGTCTGAAGTTCGATCTGGAGAATCTAACATCCTACCGCCGCCGCAGCTGCACTATGACTATAGCGCGGATGGGTTGGCTAGATCGGGGAAGAACCACGTTCTCATTGAATACCATTGTGAATAACAATAATCGGAGACCCTTTTTGCTGGTACAGGCATTGAAGGAAGTGAGTATGTATGATGCAATCAATTTTGATTTTTCAATTGAGGACAGACTGATGTAGGTGATCACAGCATCTTCTAACCATTACGTTGATCTTTTCTTTCTTCTCTGTTCTCTTGTGCCCACGCTATTACAGCCTGTAAAGACCACTGCTGAACATTTATCCGTAGTTTCCACCACAGAAATCTAAACAATATTTACATTTATGTGGTTCCCACGCTTGACAGGCGCCTTGGCAATCACATCTTTTTATTATGAATTGTGATCAGGAAGATGTCACGCTCATCTCCTTTTCAATTTCCCCCGGTCGCCTCTTACGAAAACCACACGACGAAGTGAAGTTACAACGCTAATACACGGGTGTTCTCTTGTGCCCTATTTGAATACAAAATCGATGTACTTATCCACTTAAAATATGGTAAACTAAAGAATAAAATAGGCTTCAATTTCTTTTTCCGACTAAACTGCGCAGTGGACAGTGGACACCGAAAAACTGGCACGCGTGATAATTTAAGCGCTGCTAACGAGTACCGTAGCTTGTTAGTAGTTAGTGGGTGCATTCGAATGTTCGAAACGTTTTGTATCAAAAAGAACAATCACACGATTTTCTTCCTATGTAATACTTCGGCTCCTAGCGTTTGCATGCTTTTGCATTCAAGTACAATAGTTTGTAAGTTTAACAGTGCTTAGTTCAGAAAAAATAAAATACATGGATATTATAACATTTTAAGTGTTCCGCTGTTACGAAGGCGGCACTGAAAATTTCGGGAATCAAGGAAGTGACACAACATTACTATTTAAAAATGGATTTATTGCTTTTCGAAGTATTCTCCGCGAAATTTGACACATTTTTCCATAAGATGGAACCAATCATTGAAACAACCATTTCATTCGGAAGTTGGGGTCTCCAAAATGGCCGTTTTGTAGGCACAGCTTCTTCAGGAGATGAAAATCTCTGTCCACGCAATTTATTCTTTATTTTAGGGAAAGTATAGAAATCATTAGGGCTAAGGTCGGGGCTGTACGGCGGATGATCTAATAATTCTATGTTTTCTTGCTCTAAAAACTCTTTTGTTCTGTGTGCGGTGTAAGAACTCGCATTGTCGTGATGGAGGAGGATGCGGCGGTTGCAGTTCTCTTTACGGAGTTCAGAAACGACCTGTGGCAAACAATGCTAGCATACCATTCTGCACTAACCGTTCTTTGTCCCTCAAGAGGAATAGTCGTAACATGGCCAGTTTTGGAGACAAACGTGGCCACCATTTTTTTTTACAACACTCCGTGAACGAACAATTTTTGTTGGCTTTAACTCATTTTCGAACACCCAACGTGTGGTTTTTTTCTAAATACGATGTTGTATACAGCATTTGAGGATCCTGCGTGGAATCTTTCGAGAGTTCTGACGCACTAAGTAACGCGAGCCGCTTTTTTGCTCTTCACAGAGCGAATGCGGTATCCATAGGGAAAACAACTTTTTTACACCTAATTGTTCATGCAAGATTATTTGTATTTGACTCATGCCAATGTCTAAAGTTGCCTGAATTTCGCGGTATGTCACATGTCGATCTTCCTCAATCGCTTACGCACAGCCTCAACGTTT